GAAGTCGTGCTGCTAGACGACGTGCTTGTCGACGTACTGCTCGTCGACGATGTGCTTGTCGACGTTGTGCTACTGGTGGAACTTGACGAGGAAGTCGAGGTGGTGCTGCTTGACGACGTACTAGTGGAAGATGTGGTGCTTGAAGATGTGCTGGTTGACGTGCTGCTCGTGGAAGAACTCGTGGTGGATGTAGTGCTGGTACTGGTGGAGGAGGTGCTCGTAGAGGTAGTACTACTTGAAGACGTGCTACTCGATGTTGTAGTGCTGCTGGATGAACTCGTGGAGGTGGTCGATGTGCTTGTTGAAGACGAACTGGTGGAAGTTGTACTTGATGACGACGTCGACGTCGAAGTTGTACTTGTGCTGCTTGAAGATGTGCTCGTCGAGCTGGTGCTGCTGGAAGAAGTACTGGTTGATGTCGTGCTACTTGTAGAGCTTGTCGTGGAAGTACTACTGGTGCTGCTGGAAGAAGTGCTAGTAGAGCTTGTGCTGGTAGATGACGTGCTGGTAGACGTGGTGCTGCTTGTAGAGCTTGTGGTAGACGTGGTCGTGGTGCTACTGGACGACGTGCTGGACGAAGTCGTGCTGCTAGTCGACGTGCTTGTCGACGTACTGCTCGTCGACGATGTGCTTGTCGACGTTGTGCTACTAGTGGAGCTTGACGAGGAAGTCGAGGTGGTGCTGCTAGACGACGTACTAGTGGAAGATGTGGTGCTTGATGATGTGCTGCTGGATGTGCTGCTTGTTGAAGTCGTACTGGTACTGCTAGATGAAGTGCTCGACGTTGATGTACTTGTCGATGAAGTGCTGCTTGAGGAGCTGCTTGTAGAAGTTGAACTGGTGCTGCTTGAGGACGTACTTGTGGAAGATGTGGTGCTCGATGATGTACTGGTTGACGATGTGCTTGTTGAGGACGTGCTCGTGGACGACGTGCTCGTCGAAGATGTGCTTGTCGACGATGTGCTTGTTGAGGAGCTGCTTGTGGAAGTCGTGCTGGTGCTGCTTGAGGATGTGCTACTTGACGAAGTGCTGCTGGATGATGTACTGGTTGAAGTCGTGCTGGATGTGGAGCTACTGGTTGAAGACGACGTGGTGCTGCTTGACGACGTACTTGTGGAGGACGTAGATGTCGACGATGTGCTGGTTGAAGTCGTGCTTGTTGAAGAGCTGCTTGTTAAAGACGTGCTGGTACTGCTGGAAGACGAGCTCGAAGTTGACGTGCTTGTCGACGAAGTGCTGCTTGAGGAGCTGCTTGTTGAAGATGTGCTGGAGGACGATGTGCTCGTCGACGACGTGCTCGTCGAAGAAGTGCTGGTTGAAGTCGTGCTACTGGAAGAGGTGCTGGTAGAGGAGCTTGTAGTCGAAGTGCTGCTCGTGCTGGTGTAGGTGGTACTGCTAGAAGACGTGCTCGTCGATGATGTGCTGGTGGAGCTTGAGCTTGTGGAGCTTGTACTCGTGGAGCTCGAGCTCGTGGAGGTGGAGGTGGTGGTGGACGTTGTTGACGAAGTGCTGCTGGTAGTACTTGATGATGTGCTTGTATATGTCGTGCTGCTGGAGGTGGTGCTGCTCGAGGTTTTGCTGGTGGAGGTGCTGCTCGTGCTGCTGGATGAAGTGCTTGTCGAGGTTGTGCTGGTCGACGACGTGCTTGTGGTGGTTGTGGTGGACGTGCTGCTCGACGTACTGCTTGTAGTTGTTGATGTTGACGATGATGAGGTTTTTGTGGTTGAAGTGCTCGATGTACTGATCGTAGTCGTGCTTGTCGCAGTCGTGGAAGACGACGTGGTTGATGTAACACTTGTGGTGGAAGTTTTGGTTGTTGTGCTTGTCAATGTAGTACTGGTACTGGACGTGGATGTCGTTGTCGAACTCACGCTCGTGGTTGAAGTGCCAGTTGTAGACGAAGTCAAGGTTGTCGTGGAAGTAATGGAAGTTGTGGTGGATGATGTCGTGGTGGAAGTCACACTCGTGGTAGAGGTAGTTGTAGTTGTTGAAGTGAGAGTAGTTGTAGATGTTGCCGTGGTAGTGGACGATACGCTTGTCGTCGAAGTCCCTGTGGTCGTGGAAGTCACTGAGGTCGTCGAAGTGATGCTGGTCGAAGAAGTGGATGTGGTTGTGGACGTCATACTCGTCGTGGATGTTGCCGTCGTGGTGGACGTCACGCTCGTGGTAGAGGTCACCGTGGTTGTCGAAGTGACACTAGTTGTGGAAGTCACCGTGGTTGTGGTTGTCGTTGTTGCTGTAGTTGTAGATGTTACACTTGTCGTGGAGCTTGCTGTCGTGGTGGACGTCACACTGGTCGTCGAGGACAGAGTAGTTGTCGAAGTAAAGCTGGTAGTGGAAGTCACCGTGGTTGTGGAACTGACCGTAGTTGTTGAAGTGACACTGGTTGTCGATGTTGCCGTAGTTGTGGATGTTACACTGGTGGTCGAAGTAGCTGTGGTTGTGGAGCTGATAGTTGTTGTCGAAGTGACACTAGTGGTCGACGTTGCCGTCGTTGTGGATGTTGCACTGGTGGTAGAAGTAGCCGTGGTTGTAGAACTGACGGAGGTAGTCGAAGTGATACTTGTTGTCGAGGTTACCGTCGTTGTGGCTGTTACACTAGTGGTTGAAGTAGCGGTGGTAGTGGAGGTTAAACTTGTCGTGGAAGTTGCCGTCGTGGTCGAAGTCACACTCGTGGTTGATGTGAGTGTGGTTGTCGATGTAAAGCTAGTCGTGGAAGTCATCGTTGTTGTTGAACTGACTGTGGTGCTTGAACTTATAGTGGTTGTGGTCGTCGCTGTAGTCGTTGATGTCATACTGGTGGTGGAGGTTGCTGTGGTGGTGGACGTCATGCTCGTTGTAGAAGTCACCGTGGTTGTCGTTGTGGCACTGGTGGTGGAGCTCATCGTTGCCGTGGATGTGACCGTAGTTGTGGAAGTGATGCTAGTGGTCGAAGTTGCTGTAGTTGTAGATGTTATGCTTGTCGTGGAGCTTGCGGTCGTAGTGGACGTTACACTGGTGGTCGAAGTAGCTGT